CACGACTAAAACTAAAAGTAAATAGAATAAACAACTAGCTTATAAATAATATATATGTACATACACAGAAACTCGCTTAAAAGTAATTATCTGTTAGCAAGCAAACCATTAGCAGGTGGCAGCACTGCACTCGTCGTTGTTGTTGTGGGTCCATTAAGTTGCAAATTAGTACCCAAAATATTCCCAACTGTAGCTGAATTGGCGACAATGTTTGCATTCGATACCGCACTGCTAACGCTAATACCGCGGTGCTGTGCAGTGTTTACAGCCGAGGCAGTTGCTGTATTCCGGTGATGTTTAGCAACCCCACCGCCCTTGACAATGCCACCATTATTCTTTTGTGCCATATGCGTCTGGTAGTGCTTGGCTAAATGCGCTTTCTGCCGAAAACTTTTGCCGCACAGCGAGCAGGCGAATGGCTTTTCACCCGTATGGGTGCGTATGTGCACATTCACCGAGTATTTATCCTTAAAACCTTTGGAACAGATGGAACAATAGTGGAGTGAGCGCTCCTTACGTTGACCATTGCAGTGTGTGGGACTATTGCTGCTATTGCTGCTACTGCTACCGCTGCTGGTACTGCCCACACTGTTGCCGGTGCTGTTACCGTTGTTATTGTTCGCAATATTACTGCCACCGTTGTTATTGTGATTCATGACATTAGGATTGTTGTTATTGTTACTATGTGTGGCTGATGTGGTGCGTTTATATTTCTTCACAGTTTTTGTTGACGTTGTTGTTGTGCCGCTGACAGATGCCAGTCGATTTCCCGTTGACGTAGAAACTTCCGGCTTTAGTGGTTGAGGCGGTTGTGTCGGCGGTACAGTCTGCATATGCATTGAATTTGATAACTGCGATGGTATCGTTGTTGTTACGACACCACCTGTTGGTGTTGTTGCTGGAGAATGCAATTGTTGGAGTTGTGCACTTTGTGTGTTTGTTGGCGAGAGTTGCATCATGACATCATTACTGCTGTAGTCAGTAGTTGGTGTTGATGAACAAAACTGCTGCACTTCATTAGCGATGCGTTTGATTTTCTCAAAGTCATCGGTGAAGCTTTCTAACGATAGGAACATCTCATCTACTATAATGCTAGAAACACTGTTACTGGCATTTGTGCTGGCATTGGTTAGAGAACCATTGGCTACTGGCGAATGTTGAATTAAATGTGAACTTTGAGTATCATCGAACATTTGTGCGGCATTTAAAGCGGAATCGCCAAAGGAAAGTGCATCCTGTGGATGATAAATAGGAAGAAAAGTTTTTTTTTAAAAAATGAAAGTGACAAAATATTTAATAAAATAAAATTAAAATACAAATTATTAATAAGAATTAATAGAAGGATGAATAATAAAGAATAGTAATTATATGTCATATGGATTAAAGAGTTCAGACTCACTGTGTCAGTTGGAAACAATATGCGTCGCATTTCATCATCCTTAATAGTGGGCGATGTGGGCAGTAACGTTAAACCATTTTGCATTTGCAAACCCTTCGAATATCCTTTACCTTGTAGAGCGCTACGTAGAAGTGATTCTGCGGAGTTCTTTAAAAATAAAAAACAGTAAAAAAAAAATAATTTAAAAAAGCATTCATTAATCAAAAATTAAAAAAAAAAAAATAATCAATTAAAGACATATATTCTTACATATTGATTTGTAGGAAAATTTCTAGAAATATTTTCGGCAAAACTTACCTGTTCCGCATTGTGATTTGTCATATGCCAATCATTATTGTTATTCTGGAACTGTGCCAGCTGCTGATTATTGCCAAGGCGGCTAATACTGCCAGTTCCTGATATGGCTGTTATTAAGGAGGGCAAACTTTGCCCACTAACTGGTCCCGCCGACAGATCATGATGCGTGCCTACTTGTGATAAACTTATGCCATTAGCATCGCTATTGGCATCTTTTGTGCCATCAGTGCTAAAACCACTATCATCATATGGATATTCCGACTTAATATAACCAGGAAAATTGCCCAATAGGCTGTCCAGATCTAATGAGTTTGCCAATTGCGTGTCAGGTTCACGTTTAAGCCATGGCTCATTACCGTTTAATACTGTTAATGTGTAAATTTGTCCGTCACCATTATCAATGCTGCTGACAGTGCCTGTACTGCTGGGTTGGCTAATGCTGCCGCTTGTGGTTGGAGAGGATGTGCTAGTGGCATTGTGAGTAGTGTTACTGCAGTTTCCAACATTGCTCAATTGTTGGGTGGGTGATTGTGCATGCGTATGTGCAGTAGGTGACTGGTGTTGAGTGTTAGCTTGTTGTTGCCAACAATAGCGATCAAGATCTTCGAATATGGTAGACTCAAGGCGACTGTGATCCTTATCGGTATGCCAGAACTGAAAATGAAGAATGAAATTTTTGATGTATTTGTACAGAATGTTATTGATAATACTAGAAATACACATTAATGTACACAAGTATGATTTGGAGATGTTAAGTAAAAATTTGCTTTAGAAGTGATATAAAGAAAAGAGCTGACTATCCTATTGTTACTAAAAAGAATGATTATTATAATTAATTGTTGTATTTAAATTGAAATTTTTAGAACTTTTTGAATTCCTTAAAGTAATTTTTACATTGATTCTTATGTCTTTTGCCATAAATCTGCTTTTGGGTTTTCTGCACCGGCTTTTTGTTTATTTGTATTATTGTATTCACTGTAGGGTGTTTCTATTAGTTTTTCTTAAATATGAAGTAAACAATGGTTTGGAGAATTAATCCTTCAATAGCGATGACAATGTCAGGATGAGTTATTTTGATGATTCAGATATAGGATAAAAACTTGAGTATTTGCATTCGTCCTTAAATACAGTTTCTTGGTTTAAAGCATAGTCAAATTGTAATGAGCTTTACTGCATTTCCCAGGTAGTTGGGCAGTTGATCTAAATTAGATTAACTATCTGTGTTGTTTCATAAACTTTTATTCATTTCAGTATTATTTTTATTGTCTTTATTAGAATTTCATATAATTTAATAGTGATAGACATTCTTAGTTCAGTAATATCCTCCTACCCTAGATTAAGCTCCAACATGTACAATAAAAACGGCTGTAGTTCTTTTTTGTTTCTAAGCAGAGCCAACATTATATTTCTTTAGTTAGATTTAATATTTTTAAATTATAATTCAGACTATATTAACCCTTTAGGTGACCAGTTAATATCTTTTGTTTTACTGAACATGAACATCATACCATAGTTGTAAGGACGAATTTTGACAGTAATTACTCATAAAGTCATATCAATAGCTTTATCTTTTGATTAGAAACAATTTATCTTTCAAAAAGTTATGTAGTTGTGAATCAAGTTATACAGCTTTACAGAATTCAATGGCTGATCCGGTCTCGGCAAGATAAGTATTTAGAAGACTATTTCTAAACCTGTGTCAATTGAAAAATATACTCGATTGGAACAGCATTCACTAATTTTTACTTTTCCTATTGCAAAAGGCGTAGTCAACCTAAACAGTATTTTCTTATAAATGCAATATATACTGAATTGTCTATTTCTTATAATCGATCTGAATTATTTTAATTTTAAATATATATTTATATTAGTTTTATGTTGGATTTCCGGCATATTTCTCTCATCAGACCTGTAATTATTTGTACAGTTTCCGATAAGTCAATAATCAACGTAACATACATGGGAATCAAGCAATAATATCAAATAGCTACTGGTTGCACTGGTGGCGAATGTCATTTTATAAGATATTTAGTATATAACATTCAATTTAAAGTTTTTTTCTGAAACTTCTACTTGTTGAGACCCTTGCACATATTTTTGTATACTTTTATAACAATATTATCTTCATATCACAGACTCTATTAAGTAAATGTGCTTTAAACATTAGCGTTTACCTATTTAACATAGGAGACTAGAGCAGAGATAGATCAAAAAAAGAAAATGATTACGAATTGTTACAGTACTATGATCCATGATATTTTATTACTATTGTGTTAATGTACACGATCTGTGGTAATTGTTGCCTTACGACTTTAAGCCTTTATTCAATACAAAGCAGTGAATTTCAAGGATCCTTGTGATAACTTAACTTACATATACTGAAAAGATGCTTAATTGTAAGTTATAGTTATAGAAATATCATAACTAAGTCCTTCTCCAATTTTTGTTTCTAGTAGTAGTATTTCTTTTATTAAATTTAAGGTTATATTTACATTTACAAAATTAACATTTTCAATAATTTATAATATATAAAACATAAATATTATAAATAATTATAAGAAAACTAATAAGAAAAACCTAACTTCATTTACATAATATCTAATTTTATCCTTATACGATTATGGCATTTGCCGTCTCAATCGGGTTTGGATTTGTGTTTTTTTTTTTTTTTTTTTTACGAACTTCAGCTTATGAGAGTTAAAATGCCTCTAATATAATATTTTCTCTATAACGAGACGCCGTTTTCACATAGATCGATAACATATGCCAGTTTTCACCATTTAGCAGCCTCATTAATTCGTTAATATCTAACGTTTGTTTTCCAAAATAATTTACCCGTAGCTCCATTAAAATTGGACATTTACTAAGAAAATGTATTACATCTTCCTTTTCTCCAGTATTGCACAGCGTGCATCTCGGGTCTGACGAGTTCATATAGGGAGCGCTGTTGAGCTTTAACAGTTCTCCTCGAGTTTTGAAAATATATCCAATTGCTTCAGCGCTAAAGCGATCTGCGAAGTAACTGTTGTTGCCTAGGTCATAATTAAGTTGCCTGTGTAAAACACGAGTTAAGCTTTGTCAACTTTCTGCTACGAACTTTTCTCTAAACGCAATACCGATTTTTACTAATATATTTTGCTGCCAATGCTTCCACGAATGTATGTTATCGATTATCAGCGGTTCACGGTGAACCGATGCTAAT